CAAGTACAGGTCCATTTATCATTTTCTGGCTCCGTCTCCTCAAAGTCAATGGTTGTTTGGTTAGATGGTACCATGTTATGTTAATTTGGATAATTTTACCATTGAAGTCATAGATCGAGTCATTTTTAAGTCACAAAATATTGGCTTTGTTCTACAACTGTCAACGTTGCCTTATAAACCAGTCTTGGTGAAGGTCTTCTAACACACTGCAATTACTATGCATTTATATTATTATTAAGTGAGTTGATTTGAAACTGTCAATAACAATAAATCTTGTGTAATCATCATAGAGAACAAAACCTGTGTGGAAACAGATTTTGAGGGTTCAAGCAGCATTGCCAAAAGGTTTAAGTGTAAACCTTTTGACTGAACTGCATACTGCTGCACTAGTGTGTTTCATTCAAAGGCACCTAGATAACAAATACATAAAACTAACATTTTTTTGTTCTAGATGGAAGATCTTCTACCTTCTTTGTAAGGACCTGCATGGGCTTTGTTTACTTCTAGCATATAAAAACATTGTTTCTACCATTGTGAACATAATAAGGTAAAATGTTATATTACGTTGCTTGTAATAAGTGTTATCTAACAGGTAACAAGGGCCTTATGAGATGCTTATTAAGATTAATGTATTTTAGTAAGAAAATAAAATGTAAATAATGGCATCATAAACACGTGTATTGTATAAGACATTTATAAGCTTTTATATGAAACTTATAACAGTTTAAAACCTTTACTAAGCTTTTGTTATTGCTTTCTTAATATTTCTACATACATAATTATACATTTATTATCAGTTAACGAATGCACATACTCACATTTAACTAATGCACAAAGAGTGAATTTTATTATGCACGTAGTTAACTATGCTTTCTGGGGGTACCACATCTGAAGTTGGAACAATGCCTATTATGGTTAAAAAAAACTTAATTATGCATTATTGTGTGTTAGTAAGACTATGTTGATAATGGCATCATAAACACCTAATTTGTTAGTGTATAAGACATTTATAAGCACTTATAACATAATTATCAGCACAGCAGTCTATAGACTTAACAGTTTGTAAACTGCTGTGAATCTTCTGTTGTTGCTTTATTAAATTGTTAGATACTTTATTTTGCATTTATTAGCAGTTAACCAATGCTTTTGCACTTCCGCACAAGAAAGGATAACATGCAGCAAAGGGCTGGATTTAAACCCAAGTTTCTGCAGCAAGGACTGGTGCGTGCACTCTAACTGGTGAACTATCAGGGTGGCCCATACTTTTTGCAGCTACTGGATCTGTAGTGAGACCAGTGCCTCATAGTTACATTGTAATGCCCTTGATAACTTAACAGTTAACTATAAATTTTAATAAAATGTGACAGAAAAATTAAAAGTGGGTACAATGTTTTAGCTATGTAGCACAAAAACACACTATAATACAGCTTTCCATTATTTTCACATAAATGGCAGCCACAAAGATAATGTATTTTACTAACGTTCTTAGATAGTCTATTTAGATAGATAGTCTATTTTACAAATAATAATGTAATCATAAATAATTTTTTACAATAATAATAAACATTTATGTAAACATTTATGATACTATTAGTAACATGTACATAGTCTAATTAACATATATTAATGTTAATAAGCATCTCACAAGACCTTTATTACCCATTAACTAACGCTTATCGCAAGCACCTAAATATGTTTATGAAGTGTTACCCATAAGAGCATCTGTTATATGTGGGTAAATGGTTATAGATCCTACCGTAGATTTCTTCTATGAGCTATAATAACGCATGACACATGCCTGCCATTAGTGAGAATTCTCCCTATGGTTACCACACTTTCTTTTAATTTGCCTAGGCTGTAATCTCCATCTACTCTGAGTGTTTTCATCTACTAAAGGACTTTCAACAGCTTGAACGTAATCAAAGAGTTTCTCTCTCTTCTTTGTGTCTCTGGATAAGGAAATTCAATTAGCTTAATTGGCCTGGATATTATGCTCTGTAATGTGATGTAAGCATCAGTGTCGACAAACTTCACAGGGCACTTTAGAAGAACCTCGCTAATTAGAGCAATAACTTTAATCCAAATGTTTTACCTCAACATTCCAGATTATTCTAAATTGAAATCCAGGTAATTAGTTGAAACAACCCAGGAGGAGATAGCTGGCAACCCTTCTTGAAAGCTGCTGATGGCAACATATAAATGATGCGGTGGTTTTTCTCTCGTTCCATGTTTGACACATGACAGTACCAAAATAGAAAATCTACTTTTCCCTCTGACAAGATGAAAGCCTGTTGTGTTTTTGGAACTGAACAAAAGATGGATTTGAGAAATGCGTGAAGATCTCATTTGAATAGGAAATTTCAACCCTGCAACTGAGGCTCTTCACTTTGAGGTTTTGTAAGCTCTCTTTCATCGGAACGAAACTGAAAAGGGCATTTTACAAGCAGCAGAGACAACAAACTGAGGAAATGATTGCACTTTAGATCAATCATATATCATAGGCTGCAACATGCTCTGCTGGTTAGGGTAATGGACAGGGAACAGGCTCTTTCTGGCGGCTGGTTTGCATCTAATGCTGTGCCCTTGAGCTAGATATTTAACTTGCTTGAGCAAACACAGTGACTTATAAATGGATATGTAAAGTGTGAAGGTGTAAACTTTCTTGAGATATAAATCTCAGTCCAACAACTATTGAAATAACAACCAGACCTGTACGAATGAGAGAAAAAAACACACACCACACTCACTGGTAACACAATAAAACTGTATTACATTTGTGCTTAAAATTATTACAATTACAGTATACAGTATTTACAAGCGTTGTCCTAAAAATAAACATCTCATGCTGGATGACACATAAAAAGAAATCATTGTACAATAGCAAGCAAAAATGAATATTTCTTTTATGTACACCCACAATTTACCAATTAAAGAAGGGTTTTTTTCTTTTCCAGCTACGGAATGTTGCTGAGCATTGTTGCACATGCTCAGAGGCTGATATTTAATGCTTAAAGATCAATGGTTTGTTTTCCTCTCAACAGAAAAGGACGTAACGCCTCTGCAGCAGGGAGCCATCCTGACCCAGGTGACCAGGTCTTAGGGTGACTGACTTGCTGCAGAGAGCAGTTAACTAAATCCAAAGCCTTGCTGAAAATGACACGTAAGCCAACAGTGATTGAGAAATCATCGACAGGGTTCAAGTATCAGCATATCAAAGAATGCCAAATTTTGGACAACAGGTGAATGTTTATCAAATAAATAGTGTACAAAAAGTAATCAACCCCACCACCCCAACCGATCCCTGCCCTACAACCGCTACTACAACCTGCCTTCATGAGCCATTCCCCCCACATTTCAGTTTTACCAGTGTGAAAGCAACTGTCTCCAGCAAAAAAGAGCAGAGTCTGGAGTCACAGTCCAAACCTGGGGTGCCCAAACTTACTGAAAGTATCTCTGACGAAATGCATTTCAAGAACTGTCACCCCATGAAAGACAGTCTCGCAAAGCAAGGAGTTTGTGCGTCTGGTCCATAATGTTTACAGCTGCATTTAATAATTTTTTGGCCAATTGGGGGCAGTAGTACAAGCTGAAAACATGTCATGTGACACACTGTATTATTACCTTATAAGCAAACAGTTAGCAGCATTAGCATGTCATAGAGTGCTGCAGGGATGATTGATTTATGTGGGCCAACCCAGAAGTTAGCATCGCCCTGGTTCCTTGGATTTTGGATTGTTGCAGAAAATAACACCACTTTTATGATTTTTGAAGCATTAATGCCATTGCCAGAAGTAAAAAGCTAACGTTAGGCCATAAACAAACTCTATCATGGTCACGACTCCAACGTTACCACAACTAAACTCCAAAGTTTGAGTTAGAATAGTTTGCGAGAGTGGCAGTATAAACACAACAAGGCTGTAAAGGTGGACTAGAGTCAGTCAGTAAGTTTTAATTTAGCCGCCTTTTTAAGACACCGAAAATCTTCAAAATTCCCAGGTGGGGTATTTACTATTTTATGTCGTAGATCAAAATGTGAAAATCTCTTTTTTGTGTTTGTGTTAAATGGAAACCTTATTTCAGACATCTAACCAAACACCCATTGACTTTGAGGAGAAGGAGCCAGAAGTGCTACAATGCTAACTAATTTCTGGGTTTTGGACAAATTTTTGGAGCGTTTTTTCCAGGTGTGAAAGCGTCCGTTTTTTTTTTATGATGAACGGAAGTCCAACATTCACTTTCCTTTTAGCTCTGAGCCGCTAAATGCTTTCTTCACCAGCTTGTTGCTAACTGCTGTTTGGTGCAAAGTAGTCATAAACTTAAGCTGTATATCACTTAGTGTAAAATGGTAGGCCTAAGGCCATAACAGATGATTGAAGTAATTTCTGTTTTTTAAATTTAAATTTGACGGAATTTTACTCAAACTGGGACCTGGCAACTGCCACCCTTCTAGATCTGCCCCTGATCATAATGGTGTGATTATATGTCACTTTTATCTTTCAACCATCTTCAAAATACGGTTGTATTTTTAACATAGACGAACCTAGCACATAGCATCTATGTACAGGAAAGGAGGAAGTTGACTGAGGTTCCAACCAAGACTTGTTCAACGGTTATTGGAGCACAGATCAAAGGGGATGGGACTTAAGAGGGGTCAATTTTTTAATTTTTTAAAACTATATGGACCAGACCAAGCCTTGTGAGACTGCGAAACTGAAGTCCTCGACCTAAAGAGGGATCCACATGCTTATACACACACACACACACACACACAACAAATCAGTCATCCGCATTATTTTTGCCACTCTTCAGTTTACATTCACTGTGTATAATCTTATATCATACAGTAAAAAGGTCTTTATTTTAAAATTACATTGATTGACAATACCTCAGTGTATTTTAGATTCAAGTAGAAGAGCTGAACTGTGCAGTCAGGTGGGACGCTGTCTGTACCTGTCAGATACGATGAGGCAAGACTGCTTTTGGGTGGGTTAACTTTTTTTTCTCTTTAAACAACCAGGACCTGCTGTTGGTTAGAAATTGCTCTGAGGCAGGTGGTTGTTGGCCAGGAGGAAAGAGGCAGCATCCGTAAGTCACAAACAAAGAAATGGACAAACTATTTTTTTTCGTACTTGTAGTTTGTTGTAGGCTTCCAGGGCCTTTTCCTGCCACACCGGCGTCTCTATGGCTATTCTGTACAGCAGTGTGTCCCCTCCCAGGGAGGCTTGCTTAGTTATGTACATGTGGGGTACAGGAGCTGGACAGGAGGCAATAGTGCTTTTTGTGATTACAAGCTCTCCCTCAGTCTCTTTCTCCCACTCCTCCTCTTCCTCCTCCTTGTCCTTCTTGTCGGCCTACGTGGGTCAGCGGACCTGGGGAGCGTAGCCCTCCTTCATCAGCCCCTCTTCATAGTCTGTCTGGCACAGGATCATGTTGTTTTTCAGGAAAAACTTGTCTCCCACACAAAACCTGCAGCACACAAAGAGACAGAGGAAGGGAGGGGTTTACATAAGCATCAAAGGAAGAATCTCATCATTAGTACGGAGCTTGAGGCTAGCAGGCCTAGCCAGCTACACTGCTAGCTTCCTGAATATAGTGTAAAATCTCTACTCTAGCTACCCCCCCAACCCCCACCCCCATGTGCAGACAAGGAGTTCTCCTCTCCTCTAGGAAAACAGTCAACTCAATTACAAGGGGGGAGGGGGGATATGCAGGATTTAAGGGGTGGGTGTTGGATAGAGTGGAGGGGGGGCTTTGGTGTATACGAATGGAATTATCTCTGTTTCAGGCAGGGGTTCCTTTCCACCTGCAGCTGTTACAGAAACCCCCACCGACCTCGGCAGCCCTGTCTTGCTCCAGCCAGGGGGGGCCACAGTTACGCTTGACCTTTAAGCACAGCGCCAAGTGGAGATTATGTTGAACGCATAAGGGCAGTAACTCTAGCTGTATTGTCCTGAGGGCCGCTTATCTCCCACAATGTGCAGGTTGGACAAGGTCGGCAAGCAGCAGTGCCAGTGTTTACCAGGGGGGTAGTAGAGCTGGTGTGTGGGGGAGAGTGGGGACAGTGAGCCTCGCCTCCTTTGACTTCCCTGAATGTTAAGACTGCTGAGTTCAATGCTGGGAGCTGCACACAGCAGATGGAGTTCAGGTACCCGACAAGCTTGGGCTGTCCGCAGCATTTATTCAGGGCTGCAGGGCAGATTGAAAGTATGATTTGTTACATCCATTTGGGTCCAATTAGCAGGATTCAAATACACTGTAGGTACTGGCACAAAATAGAGAGTGTGAGAATGATATGTTTCTGGAAATAAAGGCAAATGTTCTGAGGAAGAGCTGACACTTGTTTTTGAGTGAAACAAAGCTGAACACTCTGATGGAGTTTTTTGAATTCATGAACATTTCAGTGATGGATGAAATGAGTCTGTCAGTCACACAACAGTATGCACAATAGATGACTCCAAGTTGATCTCGCCAACTTTCTCAGTGCTGTAGGGAATGAATTAACAGCCCTTGATGAACCATTCTTGGAAGAATCAGAAACCAGTGTGTAGGATTTAGTAGCATTTAGCCAGTTGCAGAACACAACTCCCTCGCTTTACCCTACCTTTCCAAGTGCAAAGGGGAAAACAACATACAAAAATCAGTATTTGGTTTGTCCACTGTGCGCTACTGTAGAAAACATGGCAGTTCAACATGGGATGTAAAGCAACCCACTCCTTCTGTAGTTAAAACGGCTCATTCTAAGGTAACAAAAACACAACAATTACTCTTTTCAAGTAATTACTTGAAAAGAGTAATCTCTTCAAGCTATGAGAACTATGAAAACATAGTTGTGGATATTATATTCAATTTCTGCCAATAAATCCTCATAAATGTTAGAAACTGGACTTTTAAGGCCAAGGTCACTTACTTAAAAGACGGAAAGGCAGACTTTGAACATAAACAGGATTTTGAGGGTTGCTTTGAAAATGTAATCTGATACGATTACTACTTGTAATGTAATTTAGTCAGTAAGATAATCCAAGTATCTCAATATTATATCCATTACTTTGGGATTACCTGAGAACCAGATAGGGCGGCTGTGGCTTGATGAAGAGCGTTTTTGATTCGATCCCCGGCTCCTACTGCCACATCGAAGTATCCTTGAGCAAGATACTGAACCCCAAATTGTGAATGTGTATGAATGCGTTAGTTCCTGTTTGATGGGCTTTGCACCCCTGCAGAAACTCTGAGGACACCCTCGGGATTGTGGACCCCCTGTTGACTCCCACTATACAAAAACTAACCCACAATATCCCAGATATGGCAGCTGCCATCTTTTGCCACTAGGAGCCAGAGTCTGCGCAGTATTGAACAGGGTTGTTGCCATAGTATTGATGTCCTGCCCATACACCTGGCCGACTCAATCGCGGGCAGGGCTCAGCTGTCAATCATGGCATGAAACCCCCCTTTTTATAGCTTCAAAATGACAGAAATCATCTTTGGGAAAAATATATTTGACTTGTACTGTGATTGTTTTGAATTGGGCCATCTGCTAACATGGAAGGAGCGGGCTTTATGACCTCTACTGCAGTCAGCCACCAGCGGGCTTTTTTTTGTTTCACTTTTGGAGAGCTGTCATGTGGTCCATTTTTATGTCGACGATGATGAATTATAAAACTGCTCTTTCTGAAACTGAACAGCATTTATCCCATGAGCCAGCAACTCAAAATTAGCATATGGAAAAGTTTAGGCTTCATTACAGTTTTTCTCTTACACATCTATTGTGGTCAATACCTGGATTCTCACTCATATTTATTACCAAACTAAACACAGACAACTAGTTTCCATTCATCTGGGCTGCTGGACACAGTGATTAGGCAGCAGAGCTTCATGTAATGGTGTCACCCCCTCTAATAAAAATGTCCCGTATATCCCACAATCTATTAGCATCTGTCTTTACTGGCACCAAGTGCACTCCCACTTTAACTTTATCTGCCTTTATTTTTTTACACACTATTTCAACTAGCAGTCTTCCCTCTCCTCCTCCTCATCCTGCTCCTCCTCCTCCTCACTCTCCTCACTCAGCTCTTATCCCTGCCCTCCACTTATTTCACACGACCAAATTGTTTCTGCTCGGTAAAATGTCAACAGCATATGTGACATCTGTGCACCAATTATGATGGGGATATTACACTGGGCACATCACAGGCGTGTCTAATAAAGGACCTTGTGTTGACCTAGTATTTCTACTTTCTTAAAAACAATTGCACACTACATCTTCAACGTAGCTTTATCTGTTACATAATGCTAATATATTAGTTTGCTGCTGCTACTTTCAACAAAAAAAATCATATTAGCTAGTTTTATGTTGGTCATTATTAATGTAATAAATAAGGATTAAATTTGACTGTTTTAGCTTAAGCAGTAAAACCTATAATGAAGCCGGATCCACCCTTATTTTAAGAGCTGATCACACTCTTTAAACCATAGTCCAACATTGAGTGGAGAATTATTGTGATCCACTGCACTTTAAAGATACACTTGTGGAAGAAACACTGAATAATTGTAAATAACCAGATAAAAAGGTAAGGCATATCTTTTTAACTTAGTTTCAACTTAAACTGACAGTTTCTGTCAATGATCAAGAAAATATGTCAATTTAAAGGCGGATAGTTAATTCTGTAAATAGGCTTACAATAACCCGCACAGCTGAGAAATCCTGAAATTCAGATTTTTCACACTTACTTTTTTTCTCCATGGATGGAGCTATTTTTCTGGCTCTGGCAAGAAGGGACATCCCCAAAATTGTTTTTATCTCACCTGCTCAAAGAATGTAAGATACGGGCAGTAATTCAGAGTTCTGTTATTCCCAGTTGTAACATCCCAGCCCTGTCTATGTTGGCAGGCTTTTCACCCACAGTGTGGTTATTTGAAGCAAGTATATACAGGTTTGACACTAGTTCATTTAAAACCAACCTGGTCTCATTACCAAGGATGCTGTAGTGAGGCACCCGCCATCAAAGTCAGGTGACATAAAGAACGAGAAATCCTGCATGTAGAGTGGTGGGGTGGATGGACTACCCAAATCTGCTTTACTCATATCAACGTGTGTGCATATCTAGTGGTGAAGTTGCAGATTGCAACCAACTGAACACCGTTTGCGTCTGTATTTGACGACCTGGCAATGAGAACAGGCTCTAAAGTGTAAGAGAAACTATGATGGCCACAAAGCTTGTGAAAAATGTGAAAGTCCCCATCTACACCCAGTGTTTGGTTAGGGCTGCTGTAGAAACATGGTGTTTCAACATGGCGGACTCAGTACAAGGTGACCAATGACATGGAGCAGACCCTTGCATTTCCAGAAATGATGCTAGAGGGATACCTACGGAGTCATATTTTGAACTGGCCACTAAAAAAGCAGCAGTATTTGACGAGCTGGGAGTGAGAACGTGTTGAAATTGGTGTTAAATTAGATTGGGAGCTGGTAACTGTCAAGACCATAGCATATGGTTCACATCATCTTCACACTCAAACCATTGAGAGTGCCCTTTATGGAAATCTCTGCTTTCATTGTTTCGTTTCTCCAGGTTCAGGTTTTGTCACCCATCTGTAACACATTTTACTGTGTAAGCTCAATACTCAATAGCTAGCTATAGTGCAACCTTCTTCTGTTATTACATGTTGTATTCATGTTATCGTGTGCAATCCTATCATGATTTCTAACTTTAAAGTCAGTCTCTCTCTCTCTCTCTCTCGACTGCCTTCACTTTCTTCCCTCCGTCTTGCTTCCTTTGCTTAGAGGTGACTGTGACTAATGAGTCTTTAGAGACCTCTTGTTGTAGGAGGAAGAGAAAGAATGGCTTCCACAGGCACACACTTAAAAGATGTATTGCGATGCCAGCAATTTACCTCGGAGGCCCGTGTTAACTAGAGTATTCACTTTCCACTCAAATGAAGAAGCAGGGAGATTGTCAAAGAGAAAAAATAGTCTCAACTGCACAAAATCTAATTACAGTTAGGATGCATACAGGTTCAGAAACACTTGGCCCTATGACACTGATGCTTAATTGTAACAGCATGTTGTAAATCTTCTCTGGCAGATTGCTGCTGGGCAATCAGACAGCAACAGTGTAATTTTTCTTTGGGGAATGTAATGTAGAGAATATAATTTCACACCTGGAAAGGAGGAGATTGACATTTTTTATGTATTTTGTCTCCATCGTTGGTGCTAAACGATTGCTGTGTTCTAAAATGCTTTAGTCCTTTAGTTTTTCTTTCTCCATCTATGATGCTCAGCACTCACATATGTCAGGTTGAGACATACATGAAACTGAAACTTCAAAATGTTGGGCTGTTGCCCTTGCCTCTAATTTTATTTTATTTTAAGTCAACTTGTCCTAGTGACAACATCTATTTCAAAAGGACACATGAATACTTTTTGTTGGGCCACTTTCAAGTGTCAGCAGGCATTTAGCTGAGTCCTATTTTAAATGCTGCCTCACATTTCCTGTCCATACACCGATCAGCCATAACATTATGACCTGACTGGTCACCCTGGTGGTCATAATGTGATGCACTGTGTGTTCTGACACCTTTCTATGGGAACCAGCATTAACTTTTCAATCAGTTTGAGCTACAGTAGCTACAGTAGCTGGCCCATGTGGT